AATAGATATGCTTTTTAAAATAATTTTTCAAACATTCGATTACGATTAATTTCAATTATTTGGGCAATATTGTATATATTTAAAGATATTTTGCAAAATAATTAATTGTACAAATTATTTTATTATTTAATTTATTTCGATAATTTTCTTTCATTACATACAATTATATTATACATATGTATATATGTATGTAATTATCTCTGTACACCTTAAATTCCCCTAAAATAATTAGCACACATGCTAAAGGAAATAATTCACAGCTGTTAACGATTTGAATTTAATCCTGAGTTTGTGTCGCATCCCCTCCGTGTAATCACCCTATGTCGGCACCGCCTGACACCACCGACACCATTAATGGCAACCAAGCAGTAACCAAACCCCCTTAAAACCTCTCTAAATTTCCCCTTTACCAGAGTACTGTCTTTACGACTAACTAGAGCACGTATTGTACGCTTCTCTTATTTGTGCACAGTTTTCCTGGTTTCTCCCGGCTTCGTATGCACACGAAGGGAGGGTCGCCAGTGGCCTTTGTCGAATATCAAGACGTTCGCTACGCGGCCCAGGCGATGGCCACTCTCCAAGGATCCTTTCTCCTCTCCTCCGACCGGGGAGCGATACGAATCGAATATGCAAAGTCAAAAATGGCCGAGGTGGGCTTTACAAATCTCTGGATCGAAGTAGGTTCCACTTTATGCTACGATAGACCGCTGCAAAGGATGCGGGGGGGCGGCTCTATGTGAACTAGGCGAAGGTTTTGTACGAGGTATTCGAACTCGAAACCATTGGTGTTTGTTCTGACGTTATTCATAGGACGAAGATATTAGTTCCGAGAAAGACCTTAGTACGCGCGAGGATTTTAGCGAGGGCGTTTCTTGCGCACTTAGCACATGCCGAGAGACTAGAGAGCCTCGATGAGAGTATTTGTTGCGGTCAAGAGTAGATCTTCCGTACCTCCGAACACCCAGAGGCCTTGCTTATGCGCCAAAGTCCTTAGCACGAGTGTTTACGTTGGTCTAGCACGAGACTTTCACACATACACGAGGCTCTGGGTGGTCCGACCTAGTAGAGCCGCCTCCGCGAAAATGCGATCAACGGCGAATACGTAGGGTTGTGCTTTTGTCAATATTTAATATTATTTTCTTATTTTATTTTGGTATAATAATTATTATTATATATTATAAAATTTAAAATACTTCATTAAAG